TACCACGTCCCCACCACCTGCAATTTGCTCCTTTCTGCCTCTTGTTCTTTTGCACATACTGTTCTTTCTCCCGACAAAGCCCTCACCTCTCAGCTCCAGAAGCTGCCACCTTGACATTCTTAATGAGCACATTGGAGATTTAACTTTTCCAGGAAGCCTTCCTGGATTAATTTACCCAGCTCGGATGTGTGTTACTTTAAATCTGATGAAATTACCCATATTCAACCATTTTTTTTTTAACTCATAGAAGTTAAAAAATGTTAAAAAAGTTAAAAAAATTTTTAACTCATAGAAGTTAAAAAATGGTTGAATATGGGTAATATTCAATATATATATCAACAACAGTAACAAAAAATCTCACCCCCTCTTTTGACTTCCTTCTTTACATTATAAAAGTCAATTTCTTTCTATGCTAAGGTGCCTGCTACAAAATGTCCCAGTGTTCTGACTGCTTTGAAAGCAGACATAAACTTTTACCCAGTAGAGGGTCTGATGTTCAGCAGAACACAGCCAATACTCAAATTTGGTTTTAATAGAATCATTTCCTTGAACTATATAGTCGTTCTCATCACTAGCCCGCTTGTATTGCAATAAGGGATGTACATGGCTGTCTTGTCCTCTGGTTTGGAAACTCTTCTTGGGAGAATGAAGGTTTGACTTATGTTTGGCACCAATTTTTCCCACACAGCACAGTGTCTGGGACATAGTAGACACTCAATATTTGCAGAACCAGGTAAGTAGCTGCTGTAACTTTTTGCTCTGCAAGGAATGCAGGAAGTCTGAGGATGTTCTAATCCTTTTAGAGAAGTCCTGGAGAAAGCAGGTTGTGAATCCCTGAGCCCCGGCACAATCAAATTACTAGACACATACAGCTCTTAGCGAGCAGTAAATCCATGGCAACCAGTCTGGCACTGTCCTTGCCTTTCCATGGAAACCTGCCAACTGCTACTTGCAGGCTCAAGAGAGAGTGAAAGCAAGCACCAGATAGTGCCTCCACGTCTGCTGTCCTGACCTTCCCCACACCTTTATACTGTGTCTTGCTGTGTGGTTTTGCAGGGGTTGAAAGAGTAGTAAGTTTTCTCTCCCTCTCTGTGTAATCTCTTAAATTAATAGATTCAGACCCCGAGGGGCACTAGCAGGCCTGTCTGTCTAATAAAAATATAAAGCAGTTAATAAAACAGCACCCTCAGAGCCCTTTAGGACATTGCATATGTCAGTTAATCCTCCTCGCATTTATTAGATACTTCTTTCTTTACAGACGGCCCCTGAACTGTTAAGAGCCCCTAGGGGCATCAGGTTAGGTTCATTTGCAGGAGACGTCTATAGCTTTGCCATCATCATGCAAGAAGTGATGGTCCGGGGTCCTCCTTTCTGCATGATGGATCTGCCTGCCAAAGGTAAGCAGGAAGTGAGAAAAGGGTACTAGGGGCCCACTGTGTCCCATTTCAGCAGGTCACAATTTGCCAGAAGACTGTGCTAACAGCCTGATAGTCTGCAAAGACTCCGGTTTTTCTGGAAGTCTAAATTTGCTTCGAAGTGAAAGGTTTTAAAAAGCGTAGGAAATGTTACTAAGCTATGTAGCTGTCTTTTGCCACGGTCAGCATTCCACATCACACCTCTGTTTAAAACCTTCCAACTTTTCTTCATCTCTCTGTAACTCAAGCCCAGGCTCCTCATGAGACATAATGGCCCTTCATATTCCACCCAATTCCTGCCTGAGTTTATCTGTGTCACTTGTAGTATTCTAGTGCCTTCAGAGTACATGATCTCCCCCAGCTCTCTCTGCCTTTGCACATGCCATTCATAATATCCAGAATTTCCTCACTTTCTTCATCCAACTCCTGCCACCAACTCTGGAAATTCTCCATTGACTTGTTCAGTGGGTATCCGTTATCCTTTTTTTGTTCTTACCCGTATTTCTCTGTAAATGCTAAAGCATTTATAATATTTTTCATTGGTTATCTCGCCGGACTGTGAAATCCTCAAGGGAATAAGCCAGGCTGGGCCTCAGCAGAGAATAGACCAAGTCAAATACATTTGTTCTGACAAAAAGAAGACTTCCTGGAGCAGTTACTTCCCAAGGGGTTCATTTCCACAGAAATCTATGGCACCGACAGCTCCATTACAGGCTGTTCTTGGTTAAAAGAGCAGAAGCTGTGCTGTACAAGGAGCTGAGAGAAATGAGAAGCAAGAGTAGAACTCCTTCCATGGAGGCTAGCATCATGCATTAGAATATGGAGCAGCACTACTGAAGTGTTGCAGCCCATGCAGAGGTAGAAAAGGCAGTCAATTTTGTGGTGGATGCAGAGGTTAAAGTTGAGGAGACTTGGGATGAGTAGTGAGTCTGAAGAAGTAAATAGTCAGGGCCATGTTAAAGAGCTTAGACTATATTCTTTTGGAAATAGGCATCATGAGGGCATTTTGAACAAGAAAGTGACATGGCCAGATACATATTTTTAGAATGGTTTGGAGAAGTTAGGGATCGAAGCAGAAGTAGTTTGAGGCTTGGAATGAATTGATGGGGACATGGAGAGCTAATGTTTACCTCCTATTTATAGAGAGTTCTCTGCTTTTGGGGAAAGATTCAGTTTGGATAAATTAAGCCTTTGGCCACTGAAGATTTTTGGCTCTACATAGGGATTCTATGATCTTGCAGTTGAGACCTGAGGCATTTGGAAGCAGAGCAGTATAATAGATGGAGATTGTTTGGGTACTTACCTGAGCTCTTTCACCACCCATGTGACTTCTGGCAAGTTTTTTACTCTGTGTATTTCAGTTTTACCATCCATAGAAAGAATAAGAGTGCTTACCTCATCTGTTTGTGCTGAGCATTCAATGAAACAACACATGCCAAATACCCATTTGATAGTTTGGCACATAATAAATCTTCCACTCAAAGTGAGTCATTGACCAACAGTAAGACCCCTCGAAGTGTTCCCCGTTGTTCTTAATTGCCTTTGTTTAGTGATTATCATAGGACCCAATACATGGACCTTGGCTGGTTATAGGCTCATGGAAAAGACTCAGTGTCTTTGTTGTGGTAATTGTGAGGGGACTTGGGGACAGGTCAAAGGGACAGGATACTGAAGCTACCTTATTGGAATTGGCATCAGATAAGCTGCGTCTATAACCTAGCAGAAGCAGGATAACATTGTGTCTCAATTATACTGAGTCCAATTGATTAGTTTCTCACTCCCTTCTCCAAAGGCCTTTTCTGACATGTAGTCAACATTAAAGCTATCTGAGGGGATGTTAAAGAAAACGTCCCTCCATGTTTCCTCCTGACAAATCTCTTTCTTGGTTGACATTCAGCTCTCTGCTGAATCCTAAATGCTTTTCTCTTGATTCACAAACTTTTGTCTTTTTGTGCCTTGTCAGAAATCATAGACAGACTTCAAAAGCCTCCCCCTGTATATAGACCTGTGGTCTCTCCTGAGTATGCCCCTCCAGAGTGTCTCCAGCTGATGAAGCAGTGCTGGGCCGAGGCTGCAGAACAACGACCAACTTTTGATGAAATATTTAACCAGGTAAATCTATTAATATTATCATTGTCCGGTAGTTTGCCTCCCTGAGGCTAAACTCATTGAGTCCTTATATTGTTGAAGGGGCTCCTTACAAAGTGAAAGGACATTCTTCTTTAAAAATCAGCCCAGGACTGGTTTTGAGGTCCCTAAGCTTGGAATAGCACCAGCACATCCTCTATGAGCCCAAGGGTTGGTTCTGATGCTCTTCTGTACATGAATGTCTTTTTCTGAGCCTCTAGTCATTTGAAAGGATTAGTATCAGAATTGCTGGAAGACATGTGGCACATGTGGTACTTCTCAATACAGCTGTTTGTTTAAAAATTTCTAGGGAACTCTGTCGAGTACAGTATTTAGGTAATACCAGGTTGTTTATGTAGGGTTGGAAAAATGTCTTGTTTGAAAGGGTGTTCATGCAGAACACAAAAGTAGGTTTCTTAGGTTTCCTGAGAGCTACTGGAGGAAATGGGTGTATGGAAAGTGATAACCCCTCTCCCTAAGATATTACATTTCTATAGGTGATACTTTTCCTAGAGTCAGGCTAGGAAGAGGGTGGAAGAAAAGACTGAGTTCCTCTGTTGGCACGTGCAGTCTAAGCTTTGTTGACTTGCATGATACAGAAATTGTGGGTGCTCTCCGTGAGTGCTGTGTCGGCTCTGGAGGAGAGGCTTTTGAACCTGGCTAGAGTCCAGCCTGAGCTGCTTTATGACTGGCAGGTATCTGAGGCGGAAAAGAGAAAGACTTGGACTGAAAGCCTGAGAGGGCCCTGCTTTTGAAGTCATCCGTGTCCTCCAGCTAACAATACTTCCATTAGCCTGGCTGGAGTTCTTGAGGACACTCAAACAGGTGTTCAATGGTATGGAAAAAGCAAAGGACCATAAAGGTCACATTTCTAAAAACTTACTGTGAGGCAGGAGGAAAAACCATTTGTCCTTGTGTTGATGCTAAAGATGTTATTTCAGAAGGCAGGAGAGAAGTTACTGATAGATAGGAGGAGTGCCCATCATGTGACTTTCAAACAAAACATTACTGAGGCTACCCTCACTGAAATGCTTTACTGGAAGTTTAGTCTGTCCAATGACAAGAGTAGCCTTTTCACTTCCTGTATCTACTGCAACTTAAATGCAAAGAAATGAATGAGCTTCTCTAGAAGTGATGCCTCAGGGGTAGCTCAGAGGATTTGAACTGGCTGCTTAGGATCTTAGTGAACATATAGATGTGGACAGATTTCAGAAGGAGCCTCCTGTTGTTCACTTTGGGGTAAGGAGTGCTATATACAGAGCATGTGTGGCCATGCTGTATTAAATTCGTTGGGCAGAACCTTCAAAATCCACACAGCAAAGCCACTACCAATCTTTTCTGGATATGAACATGAGGACTGTAACAGCACGGAGTGGGCTACCCACTCATGATTGGAATGCTTATGTTAGTAAGCTCTTGGCAGATGGATGAAGTCCAAAGAGGGTTTATTGAACATTCATATCCAGCAGCTACCTCTTAGGAATCAGGGAACACTAGGGGCCCAAACTAGCCAAATTTCTACATGACCCTGACCGATATGAAAGGCAGGTACTAGATGGAACCATTTAGTACTGGATTACATGTTAAGAAGTAAAGGGAAATTTTACCATGTTATAGTTTGAGCACTATGTAATCAAGAAAGTCTTTGACAACACTTTATCATTTGAGGATAAGGGTGATTTTGTTGGTTGATAGCGTGAATGTTAAAACACTAATTCCTGCCCTCTTTCTCCCTCCTATGTTTCTTACAACTGACATGGGCTCTAGACCAAACCCCATTTCCTTGAAAATGACTACTATTGTTATAGCATGTCAGAACTGGAGGACCTTTCTCTGAACCTCTGTGCTCATACTGGAAAGAACCAGAAGAATGGGGGAATGCTTTGGGGCTAGAAAAGCTCTCTGAGTTGAACAGGGCGACAATGAGACCTTTCTTATTTCTATCTGGGCTCATGTCTCCTGATGTGACACTTCAGAGGAAAAGATTTGTGATGAGTCCTGCTCCATCATCACTGAGTTTGGGGCTCAAGCAGTCATAGGCTCTTCTTTCTCTTTTACTTTCAGTTTAAAACTTTCAATAAAGGGAAAAAGACTAATATTATTGATTCTATGCTTCGGATGTTGGAGCAGTATTCTAGCAACTTGGAAGATTTGATCCGGGAACGGACTGAAGAACTGGAAATTGAAAAACAGAAAACGGAAAAGCTTCTAACACAGATGCTGCCACCGTATGTGTGAATACCCAAGGAGTGTGAATCATTATAACAGTGTGTTCCATTTCAAAAAAGAAGAAAAAAGTTACCCATCAACTAACTGTTCCCTCCCCCATATCCTTCACCCTCTCTATCTCCAGTGGTTTTGACTCACACCTGCAAATCAAAGTAGAATTGGAAAGCAAGGAACCGGAACATACATCCTAATTCCCTACTTCCTATGAAGAATAATGATCATTTCATTATGCTTTGGGGGCTTGGTTTTTCTGTATGTCACTTCATGACAGGCCACTTTAACAACAAAACAAGCAAACAAACAACAAACAAAAACAAATGACAGGAGCTCTTTGAGCTCCTATAGGAAAGAAGCATGCCTGTGTTTTCAGGGACTTTCTCCCTTATCTGTTGCTAGAATTTCCATTTTCTCCCATCCCAAGTAACATGGTCTTCAAGGAGATCATTGCTAAAACTAGTCTTGTGAACATTCCTCCAAAGAGAGAGGGTGAAGTAGAAGCCCTGGGAGTTGAAGAAACTCCATGGAGGCAGAGACCAGATCTGTCTTTCCATTGTTATATTTCAGCACCTGTCCAGTGCCCAATACATTGGTTGTACACAATAAGTAGTTGTTGAACAAGTGAGTTCATTAATGCTTTACCGAAGTGAAACTCTTTCTCATCATTTACCCGACAGTAACTTTTAGAGAAGTTGTCTTTAGTGTGTGGCACATAAGGAGGCTGATCTCTTCTTGGTAATAGCTATGTCTGCTTTTCAGATCAGTTGCTGAATCCCTCAAAAAGGGCTGCACAGTTGAACCTGAGGGATTTGACTTGGTCACCTTGTACTTCAGTGACATTGTGGGCTTCACCACCATCTCAGCCATGAGTGAGCCCATTGAAGTAGTGGATCTTCTGAATGACCTGTATACACTTTTTGATGCCATCATTGGTAGTCATGATGTCTACAAGGTATGTAATTGGCAGAATAATGCTTTCTAGCATGAAACTTTTTTACGTGAGATTTATGTGTATTTCAAAATTGAAGGATTCAATTTTACAGAATGTCGTCTGGTAGGAATGAAAGTTAAGAGCACATCACTCCATTGGTATTCTGTTGGGGATGAAGGCCAAGTAGAACAAGTCTCCAACAAGGAATAGATTGCTAGAAAGATTAATTTTGAGATGTTTTCTAGAATTAAGAAAGAAGTTAATTTGGGGAGACCTATTTTAGTTCATTGAATGCATCTTCACAATGTAGAAAGTATTGTGCTGGGTAATGAAAAGATATGGAAATACTGATGCTTTTCTCACAGTTGATGGCTTCTGCAGAGTGCATCTAGGTAAAGTTTATGTTTATATAATACATGCTATGAAAATTTGATCTTCTCCTTAGGTATTGTTTTTTTTATACAAGAAGGAACATAACATTACACCAGAGTACTCTTACAAATGCAACTTTTGGGGGTTGATACAGGCTAACCCAAAGTTAGTATTTAAGATTTGAGGAAGTATTAACTTACCATTTCCCATCATTCTATCTTAGTTCTACTTTTTTTCTAAAATATCAAAGATTTCCAAGTATGAGGAGACAACAGATAACTCCTTTCACACCTGTTGGCTTCCTCACTATTATTCTATTTACATGGTATGTTGTCTTTAGGTAGAAATAGGCAGAAAATGACTAAAAGTCTCATAGTTCTGTAGAGACATTTCTATGTTGCTTGTGACATGGACACTTGTCGTATTGGAGGGTAAAGATGTTTCAGGTAACCCAAAGTTTAGATAACTCATGTTTCAGGAACCATGGAAGAGCTGGAGAATGAGTAGCTTCATTTGTTGGATCCTTCACGGTAGCCTCAAATGGTCCAGCTCTCAAATCACAACCAGGCAGTGTATTTATCTCAGATTAGACACCCAGAGACCTTTAAGGGCTAAACTATGCCATCTAAATAGGGTTCAGAAATAGACATCATACCTGTCAATCAGCAGGAGCTGCAAACCAATCAAGAAATGCACATGGAAATCACTGTGAAGGAAAAAAATCTATGGAATCAGACTACCTGTCTTAACTTGTTGAACTCAAGAAGCCTGAAAAGAAAAAAAAAACAAATCACTGAAAGTTAATTCAGTTGAAACTAAAATCAAAGATGATTCAGCATGGGCAGTAACACAGCCACTAGTTTAATCAATCCAGCTGATTCTGCTCAGACAATCATTGGGGTCCTGGGGATGAGGCCATTAGCTATTTTGGTACTTCTTGCTGCAATACGGAGTTAGTGGTTTGTTTTTAAGATGGAACAAGGCTGTCTGAATCAAAAAATGGAACCTAAAATTTCAAGCCTGTTTATTAAAAACAACACAGTGCAAAGGAAATAAAAATTGAACCATCAGTGAGTCACCAAACCTGTGTGTATTTTCATTTTCCTTACCTATAAAATTGGAATCACCTCCCCTGGAACTTGATAATCTAAAATGGATGTGAGAAGTCTACTGCAGAAGTTTTGTGATTTGTTTTTACTTTCTCTTCTTCCATTGCTCTATTTCGACCAGATCCTTTTCTATGCTTTTGCTTCCCTTGAAATGTCCTTTGACCGATGCATCCCATAATTCCTCATAGCCATCTGCACCCGAGAACTCACCCATGCCTGGCTTTGTGTTCTCCTAATGTCCTCATCTATATCACTGTGGTTTCAGGGGTAACAACTTATCAAAGCTAAATGGTCAACTACCATGCTCTGATAATGACCAGCCACTGCACCCAAATACATTTGCAATGAAACTCTTCTTCTGTTAAGTCTGTCATGACTATTTGACAGCATAAATCTTCACTCTAAATCATACCAATGCTGGGAGACTGAAGGGAAATGCAATGAAGTTAAAGTCCCATGGGGGCAAATGTCCATTATTATTAGTTATTTAGAAAGTCATTATGTAAGCCCTGTTGCTGAATCCTATACTTCATTTTATGGCACTGAATAATAACCATAGTCTTTAGATGGCTTCAAGACATACTTTTTGTTGTTGTTGATGATGATGATGATGATAGTGGTAGTGTTAGCTTACATTTAATATATGTTAACACCCACCTGCTCAGTTTATTTGGTTTTGTTTTGTTTTTTTATTTAATTTTTACAAAATTATAATTTCACATGTCAATCCCTTCTCCCTCTCCTCACTCACACCACTTCTACCCCACCCCGACCTACCCCCCTACCCCATCCAA